AAAATAGAATGAAAAACCCTGTTTGAAAAAAAAAGGAATGAAAAATCCTAAAACATGGGAATATTTAAAAATAACAATCAATCAAATTGGTGAAATAAAGTAGTAAACAACAAGGCATCACGAAGATACGGATACACAGGGGAAGAAGTGAAAGGAACCAAAGAGAGATCTCGTGATCCAAGATGATGATTTTAATGTCAATTTTCTGACTTTATTAGCTTTTGCTTTTATTTCTGCATTAAATCTATAACGTACCTAACAGCCTAACACTTTTGTTTTATGTTTATTTTCACACTATGTAAGACAAAATTTCATAACAAAGATACGATTTGAGCAATTAGCAATTTTTCTGGTTCTTTTCTTGAAGATTTTTAAAATGGGACAGATTTCTAAAATCTTCAAAAAATAAAAGCAATCAAATTTTCGACTAAAAAAAGAGATAAATAAGTATATCAAAATTATAAGCTCAGCTCACATGAATTTTTTTTAGCGAAAAGAAGATATTTTAAAAGGAATATTCATAAACGATTACAACTTCAAGAAGAAAAGTGGATCCACCAAGATTTATATTCAGTGATCAAAAGAAGGGAAAGAAAATCTGAAAATAAGAGAGCTTCAAAAGGAGTTGTTTGAGTCGTCAAGTCCCGATCGTGAGTTATTAAGATAGAGGCTGAAGAAGATATGTGACGCATTTATGGCGCGTGGATTTTACGTATCAATCACACGACCGACCCCACTTTTTTTTTGTCAGAACAAATACGTGTATCCTTGAACATGTGTTTTTTTTTTTCTCTCTACCTTTATACCGATATGCTTTTAATAATTAGGGCGAGCTAAACCAGACTTACTAATCTTGCATTCAGTGGATACAAAAGCACATAATGTGAAAACATCTAAACCGAAACCTCGAGCCAACTACTTCAACATGAATGTGTTTGTTTTCAGCAGTAATCGAACCAGAGCGAACGGATTTACGTATTATCTTTGTAAGAAAACATTGAGGAGATCATTGTCATGTCACTTTCATAGATTTTAATCCTACAGTACACACTAATCCCTGGATAATCACACCTTTATGAGACTGGTATTAGGAAAACCGAAAGCCCAAGGTAGAGAGGGTCAACTAGGAAGGCCCATATTTTGATAGTTCGTGTTTTTTTTATGTGTTTTCGTTGGTTTAGCCTAGTCGGACTTAGAATGTTAGAGTCTACTCTCTCGTATGTTTTCGATACCTAACCAAAAGCTCGCAGTTATACCTTATCCAACTTCGCATATCACAAAAGGCCTCACTATCCTTTTTATTGTTATTAAAGCCCCGCGCAAGCGCGAGTTATTTGCTATAGTTTATTTTTTTTGTTTAATTTTATTTATACTCATTCATTTGAATTATGATAGTTTTGTGTTAACTTTCATGTTTTTGTTATGTTTTTAACTAACTCAACCACTAACACTAAAAAGTATGAATAACTGTTTTTTATTTTAATTTATTAGGATATTAACACTCCGCTTTATCTCAAGTTTTCTATTTCTAAAAGTTTATCATGTTATAAATATTATGTTTGTTTACATTTTTTTTTTACTTCTATTAGACTGTAAACATGTATATGTATTTGATTGGATGTTAAAATTTATAAATATGTATATGCATTCGACCATTTGACTGAAGGTTAAAATAGTAAATATATACTATTTGAAGTTAAATATTTCTTTACTCCATCTCTATTTTATATTCAAACTTTTTGATAACTTTTAACATTAGATTATCACATATTTTATATTAATTAATTAATTTATTTGTTTATTTTTATTAAATATAAATAAATGTAAAGAAATATGAATAGTCATATATTTAATAAATATTTTAAATACAATTTAATGTTATTATGCTGATGTGGACACTCTAGATGGAGAGAGCAACTCCCTAATTAATGTTGCAAAAAAAACAAAAAATGACATAAAGCAATAGATATAAGGAAACCTGGAAAAATAATCTAAAATCCGTAAAAGACTTTTTTTAGAGCAATGTATATATGCTAATATGCACATCAAGACTTATTTTAGTTTTATTGTATTTTCTTCCTCGTAAATTTATATATATATAAATCGGGTGTTACTGTGTAATTTTCGTCTATACGGCTTTGTGATAAAGTTTAATGGTACGTAAGCTTAAGTTAACTAATGACAATGTACGTACATATTAAAAAAGAGTTTATAGTAGTGTTTTTAAAACTGGACCGGAAGCCGAACCGGATAAGCATCCGGGTCATGGTTCAATCTGGTTCGACCGGTTTGACTCCGGTTCATAACATTTATATTATAATTATTTTTAAATAATAAATTTTAAAATAAAAATATAAATAGTTAAAAATTGATATATAGGTATAAATATAAATATAATAATATTAAAAACTTATATTTTCATTGTTCTAATTAATTATTTATAGTATAAACATATATAATTTCAAAAAAAAATCAAAAGTGAAAATAAATAAAAGAAATTAATTAATTAATTGATCGTATTAATTGTTTTTAAACCAGATCGGAAACCCAACCCGGTCACATGTCCGGTTCATGGTCGAACCTGGTCCGACCACCGGGTCGATCCGGTTTTCAAAACACTGGTTTATAGTTAACTCCACTTAGCATACGCTCATAGTGAGCATAAATTTATGAGCGAAAAAGTTGACTTACAACAATGTATTATTTTTGCTAAAACAAAGTTGGGTCGCTTTGTAACCCATAAAGCTTTAATATATATTTACACATATACTTTTTTGGGTAGATCGTAAAGATACAACTATTTATTTTATTTTATTTTCATCACAATAGTAAATTGCAACATGTTTATTTCAAAAACAAAGAGTGGCATATTTATAACGGTGGGTGCGACTCACTTTTTCTTTTCTTCAGTACGGACTCTTTAATTTGTTTTCCCATCCAAAATATTTTTAAAGTAATTAAACAACGTAGTACTATAATGGTTGATTATGTCATATAATGGCAATTAAATCACCAATAGACATCAAATCCTAAAGGGTGCTTTAAGAAGTGGAGTAGAGTCAATGATAATAAAACTATAACTATCGTGCTTAATCTGGTAATCCCTCGACCATTAATAGACAAATGTCCCTACATATTTTTGGATACAATGCCGAAAGTATGTTTTGTTAATATAAGTTCTATCGAGTATTGACAAAGAAGTAAACTTTCCTCTGTTTGCTGCCCCTCATTTTGACCTGTAAAATTTGATTATTGTTTTCTTAATATTTCGAAGATAAACACTGAGTTTATAGCGGAACTTCCATGAGAGTAAAGTTTTTGCTCAGTAGATCATAAGTTATAAGTATATTTAGAATTTATTTTATACTAATCATATACTAGTATTTATGCACCACTAAAACACAAATGAACTGTGAACAACCTTTTTGATTTTTATCCAACTACGAACTATTTAATAAGCTGTCATCGGTATGCTCCACTATACAGGAACGGTAGTTCGGAGAGAAATGTGCTCGTGAGTGAGATATGTCGAGATTAAAAGATAAAGTGAGGAGAGATGACGGAAACATCTTTACTCATTCGTTGATTTTTTTCCTTTTAAATATTGACAACGGTATGTTTTGATTAATTTAAAAGGGATATTTGTTGGGGATTTAAGTAATTAATTGTTCTATTCTCTAACACTTTGACGTGGATATTGTCATTCGCATAATGCATTCTGTTGATAACAAAGAGTCTATCATCATTTGAGAATGAATAACTGAGCCCACGAAGCCTTTCACATCTACTCGTGATGATATATATACAGTAGAATAAAATACTCCGGATAATATGTATCAACGTAATTTAGTTTATGAGACGTTCACTAGCTCTCTCATTAAAGCGGCAATGCTTCTTCATCTCCTTTTGTTTTTAATCGTTTTATTTCCTTGTTTTCATAGCTTCTTGTTTCGTACTTCAAGATTGGAAGTGGAGACGGCAACCACTTAATCATACAATGGATTTTTGTACTATATAGTTCACTGATATCGTATTAGGTTATTAGTTGAGCTTGAATTTAGGTTTTGGTTTAACAAATATCACAAAAAAAACTAGATCTAGGTAATTTCTCCGTCTTTTATTCGTAGCTTAAACCAAGATTTTGTACAATTGTTGCAAGACCCAAAAACCCAAGAGATCTTAACATACATATCAACGAATCACAAAACCGCGTAAATATATGCGCGATATATAAATTCGGTCTTCAAACAAGATAACTTCAACTATTTTTGGGGTCCCAAACTTTACATGTAATTTGAAGGCCATAGAAATGGTTTTTGCCAAGACTCGCCTCTGCTCTTAAGAAATCATCTCTTGTATATATATTTGATGTACACGCTATTGAAATTAAGCCTCGAAAATAATCTACAAGATCAAATCATCAATTATATTTTTTCACTACTCAAGCATATTGCATAAAACTTATATTGATAAAACTTAAGCATATTGCATAATGCATAATTCTTGAATAAAACTTAAGCATATTGCATAATTCTTTAATCTTGAGGATTAAGAAAATAATTACATGGAAAGGTTTTACTTTTATTTTAAAAAGGTTGGTATAGGGACGTTTCATAGCAAATAGCGACCTTTCAAGAGTTCGTAGGGAAAAGGGAAATGACAATCTTGGAGATCGACTTGTAGGCAATACATGACAAGCCGAACTAGATCTGACTAGATTTGAACTTAGTGCATAGATGACCATGGCAACTCAAGCTTTTTTTTAAAAAACTTTAATTTACTCACAATGCTGATAACCACATTCATGCCTCTAATATAGTTTTCTCAAGTTCTTTAAAATACACATTTAGATTAGTTAGACAGGTCAACATTCATTAAGTAATGGCTTACCTATATAAACCTATAATTGGAAGCATCAAAGATATCACATTTGATTTGACACTCCAACAAACAGCTTGAAGAGGGATCACTTAAGCAGGACTAATCACATATAATCGAATATGGCAAGTTTCAAGTTATGGGTTTGCCTTATCATACTTCTACTCGAGTTCTCAGTGCATCAATGCCGACCACTGGTTGTGGAAGCGAGGGCTTCAGATTCAGGTAACATCAGAAAGATTTTGAGAGAACTTCTCAAGAGATCAGAAGAGCTGAAGGTGAGATCTAAAGGCGACGAAACGGTCCTAGGCAATACCCTTGATTCAAAGCGGCTCAGCCCGGGTGGACCGGACCCTAGGCATCACTAAAAAAATGTGCTGTTTTATATCCTTCGGCGAAGTTGTCAAATTTGTAACGTTGATAGAGACTTTTGCGTCTTTGCATAAGGGTTCTTTGGTGTAACTCGAAGGTTACCCCATGTTATTAACATTGAGATCAAATCAATCTTGAAGTACTCTGTACGTTTCATTTTTTTTTATATTAGTAGGGTTTCATTTGTGCTTACGAAAACTCTGACAGGAGTTGGTTTTAATTAAATAACTCTTTTTTTTTTCTTTCTTAGTAATTGAGTACCGAATGCTTACATGATCGACCAACACAAGTCCAGGTGTATCATTTCCGCAACTAATTTCGTTGAATTTATTCACAATTCATATTTGAATATAAACACGACTGAAAATAACTAACGTCTTCATGAAGACCAAATATTGATTTCTACTGAATGCATTCTAAACCGTCGTAAATTCTTGAGTTTTGGCAATAATTTGAGCTTATTGCATGTGTATAAATTCTACACTCCAAATCCATCTTCTGCTGTTCTAATTAAGTCATTTTGAAGATATATTTAAAACGAGACTTTGATCATCAGACAACGAAAACTAAAGGAAGACCATATTAAATAATTCATAGAGAGGGAGAGAGTACGTATCTATCGTGGAATAGAAAAAAAAAATCAACGTATTCGAATAACCCCACTACTATCTTTGCAAAGATGTATGCCACGAGTTCACGACAAAAATCGCAATCAGTCGAAAGTGGCTGCTAACACATATGTGATTATATTAGAAAGTACACATGCACACATGCATTATACAACGATAGTCTCTCTCTCTCTCTTTATTTTTGTTTGTGTGTGTTAAATAATTTTAAATATATTTAATGGATCTCGATCTTCAATTCCGGATATTCAGATTTTGGAGCGGATATGGGATTATGGATAGTAATTCTATCCGTAGCTGTTGGACCTGGATTTCCCTCCAGAAATCCGGCCCATAAGGCCCATCACCTAAGTCCTAAGATCAAGATAAGTCCACTCAGGCCCAGTAAAGTGACCTCGAGCCCACCAAGTATCCTTGTCCAAAATCCAGCTGTTTACTGTCCGAGCTACTTGTGAAGACGAAGTCGAGCTCTAGCTCGACGGAGTCAAGTCCGCAAGCTGAGTTTGAACGAGTCAAACGAGAATCTCGCTTGACTGTTCAGATCCGGAAATAGCGGGATCGGTAGTTGCACGTGGACGAGATACGCGGAGGAGGTTGCGATCTACTTCGGAGCTATAAAAGAGGACGATTCTTGATCACAAGGCAGAATTCCTTTGATCAAAAATCACTACACAAGTTCTTCTCATCATCTTTTCACAGCAGAAACAGAGTGAAGTTCTTCTTCTTCGTCTTGAGATATTCTCATATCTTTTCTCTTCGATCTTATCCTTGGTCTTTGAGATAATCCCAGAAAGCCCTGATCTTTCTAGCCGGAAATCACTTCCGGCAGAAGTTCGACGTAATCTCTTACCTTCGGATCACTCCGATAACCTGAGATTTATCGTCATCTTCACACCCCTTTAGCTCTTTTCGTGGTCATTTCTCTTCAGAAAACGACTCGAAATAGAGAACAACTTACAATCGAACTACGTTCTGGCTTGATCCCTAAAACAGGGTACGTAGGCAGCTCGTTACACGAGCGCAGCCACCACCTCATTTCCATCTCTTTTGCTTAGTCGAATCCTAGTGTTTTACATGGTCTTTTAGGCCGGTTTTGTAACCACTTTATTCGATTAGCCTAAGTCCGATTTCGTCAAATATTTGTCTACGAATCATTCGACTTACATCAGAATCTAACCTCTGATTCCACAGCAATTTCTCCCTACAAAATACACATAAATTTTGAGTGTGGTTTTCCGAACCCACATTTTGGCGCTAGAAGGAGGGGAGACAATAGCTTTCTCTTACACAAGGGTCGAACCTAGACCAGTTGAGAACGAAATGGACTCAGTCCTATCAAATTCTCAGGGAGCTCGCTCCCAATCTCAGATCCCATCGGATCAAATCACTTCGGATGTCAGCAGTGCCAAAACTGCAGACACATCGAAAAACCCGATCACCTCGCCAACTGGCAGCAGCCAAACTGCTAGTAGATCGAGCGTCCTGATCGATCCGGTTATCACCTCCGCGGCAGCGAACTCGAATGTTCCAGCCCGCGTGAAACCATCGGTGATCAACCTCGTCACTCCTGTGACAGCCGAGAACTCGATTCTACCGAATCAGATCTCGCACGCAATTGAGAAACCTCATTTGCGGATTCGGGTCAAATCTAAAGATTTCCCGATTACCTCGACACCGATCAGTCGGAAAACTCCGACGCAAACTGTGTCAACGTCGTTTGCCTTGGCTCGACCGAATCCGGACGACCAAGCCCGAATCAAGCGAATGCTCACCGACCTGATTAACAGTCAATACGACCAAAAAATCAGGTTGGAAAAATATGAACGAAGTCTTGCTGAGCTACGGACGATTATAAGTCCTCCTCCGGGAACTCAGCTCGACTCTTCACCAATCACGAACCTAACAGCTCGTCGAAACGGGATGAGGCACCACCGCGTGCTCCTGTCATCCAGACTCTCATCCCACCGATGACCTCGTTGAAACGGGATGAGGCGCCACTGCGCGCTCATGTCTTCCAGACTCTCGTCCCACCGATGAGCTCGCCAATGAGCAGCTTGAACATTCCAGATTCAAGCAAATCGGAGATAGGATCTCAGCCAACAGAGCGACTTCCATCTCCACCTCCAAAGCTATCAGGTGTCGAGCCAACTATATTTAGATGGCCCGAAACTATGGCTTCCAACTCAAGCTTGCAGGCGATGTCTCAGCTCAAAAATCAGTCCATGAAATTTTGAGCTCGCAGCCTCCCTGCAACAGCTCGAACTGTTGTGAACGGAAACTATCAACAGTTTCCCGCAACAAATGATCTAGTCGATCGAGCTCAATTTCATAGAGCAAACGATCCGACAGATCTAGCTCGATTGACAAAAGCAAACAGCTCGTCAAATCGAGCTCTATCCCATCCGATTCCAGCTAATCGGATTCCTGTCGATCCGCGAAACCTTTTGGACTGCGAATCTTTCGAAAGATTCCAGGACCAAACAAACCTCGCATTCCGGCAAGCGAACTCAACGTTTAACCAAACAATGAGTTCGATTCCGGATATCGACAAAGTAATCAGGGAGACACAACAAACTCCCTTCTCATCCAGGATCGCTAACCCGTCTGCGCGATACTTACAAGCTATGTATCCCAGAATACTCTGGTAACAGCGATCCACGAGCTTATATCCGAGCTCTTTATCTCGAAATACTTCGAGCTCAATTTTCTCCGAAGAGATAGAAGCAGCTTGCTGCCAACTCTTTGTTGAAAACCTAGCCGGACCAGCTAAAAATTGGTTCGCAACGCTGGATGAAAATTCAATAGATACTTTCGACCAGCTCCTTTCGGTATTCATAAACCAATATTCGATCTTCATCGAACCAGAAGTTTCGAAGCCGATCTCTGGACGCTTTCTCAAGCTCCAAACGAATCACTTCGATCTTACGTCAATAGATTCAAAGCAATCATCGCTAAGATCGAAAACCCTAACGAGGCAGTAGCTCTACTAGCCTTCCGAAACAACCTGTGGTACAAATCGAAATTCAGAGAAGAACTAATCGTTCGACCTCCTGTATCACTCGATGATGCACTTCGCTGCGCGTTAACCTTTGCTACTCTCGAAGAGGAGATTACTCTCCTCCTAGAAAAATATCGCAAAGGAAGAACTACCACAACATTCTATCTCATTGCGAGCTCAGTTCTCAAATCGAACTCGAGTTCCGAAGTCGAGAAATTCTGCAAAATCACAAAAAGCACGACCATTCCACCGAAGAATGTCGATCTTATGCTAAAAAGCAGAAAAGAAAGGCCAGGCAGCTAAACGCAATCAGACCTCATCCAACGATAACGACAAAGCATCCCAAAAACGGGAACGCGAAGTCGGAATCAACCATCCCAAGAGTCACCTCTTTCTAAAAAGAACGATCTGACTCGACCCAATACCTAGAGAGCTCAGCTCACGCAGCAGCTCAATGACCTCGCGGTCACCCACCCACCCGCACCAAAAAGATAGCGAGCTCTAGCTTACGCAGAGCTCACAATCTCGCGGGGGAGTGGAGCGTCTTCTCAGACAGCTAACCAAAACCTCAACCCGAGTCCAGAACTTTGTGAACTCATGCCTACACATGATTCACAAGTTTTCGGGGGAGTGGAGCCCCCCACCCCCAAATGAATTGCATTCATTCGCGGAGGCTCTAACAAATGCTTAGACTCAAACAACTCGATCAAAGCATACAAAAAGGTCAAATCTTCAGGACGAACTCTTCCTCCAGACGGATCCGACCCAAAGCTCGTGATGTTTAACTTGGACTATAGCTTAATAACAGCTATTCCGAATTAATACACGTCATGACAAACACAAAGAGCCCGGTGTTAGGTAGTCCGGAACTAGCTGGGTAGATCCCTACCTCATCACTGGTGTAGCTCGCAACAGCGTCTACAAGCTCGCCAATCCAAAAAGGAATACATGGACTGAGTCATTTAAACGCAATGTACCTGAAACGGTACTTCGTTAAAACAATCTCATCCGAGGTATCTCCACCCCGCGAACTACGTCCAGGCTTGATCCTCCTTCCCTGGAGGTACGTAGGCAGCTCACCCATGAGTCCAGCCCCAATCAAATTCATTCCTAATATTCGAGACGACTTCAATGGCCAGCCCTTCAACAGGTTCGATTTGTATCATCTCAATATCAATACTTTTCTATTTTTCTTTTTACGAAATTGCTCGAACTCACCTTGCGAATCCTTAAGCGCCTCCTTAGACTCTTAAGCGTAATTAGATATATAGAAATAACCTGGTCCAGCCACGGAACAGAAAATCGCTTCCTTATTTCGCAGAAACCCATCAGAGTCAACCGCATCCAAGCATCCGGCATCAGTGTTACAGCCGAGTGCGAGTCGAACTCCTCAAGGCAGCTTGTAGTCTAACACGATATCGAGCTACTTTGACGGCACGTCCGAATCGCACTTGACCCGAACGTGAGCCGAGAGACCTCAGGCAGTTTGCATTATGATACGAAATCAAGCCGCTTCGACGGTCCCATCCGGACACGCTCGGAACACTATCCGTTGCGACAAGATCGTAGTCACTCCGCATGGTAAACCATCTCTCCCACAAAGCCGAATTAGGAACACCTCGTATCAACAACCGGGAAAACAACAAACTTTGGGCCCAGCTACCCAAACAGCTAAAATTTCGAATTACTCCTAAGGACATCGAATACTTAGCAAAACGCCAGTCGAATCCGACTGAAGATCTGAAAGGTGATCAGCTCGACTCCGAGCTGTCCTCGAAGATTAAGCCCAAGTGCTGATCGTGTAGATCGATCTACGAAATCACACAACTGGCATCAGTCGAATCCGATTGATAATCTTAAAGGAAATCAGCTCGACCCCGAGCAGTCTTTCTTTAAACAATCCAAACCGGCTAAACATTCGAATTACTCCTAAGGACATCGAATACTTAGCAAAACGCCAGTCGAATCCGACTGAAGATCTGAAAGGTGATCAGCTCGACTCCGAGCTGTCCTCGAAGATTAAGCCCAAGTGCTGATCGTGTAGATCAATCTACGAAATCACACAACTGGCATCAATCAAATCCGATTGATAATCTTAAAGGAATCAGCTCAACCCCGAGCAGTCTTTCTTTAAACAATCCAAACCGGCTAAACATTCGAATTACTCCTAAGGAATCGAATACTTAGCAAAACGCCAGTCGAATCCGACTGAAGATCTGAAAGGTGATCAGCTCGATTCCGAGCTGTCCTGAAGATCAAGTCCAAATGCTTACCATGTAGATCAATCTACTAATCCACGCAATTGGCAAAAACCCAGTCAAACCCGACTGAAAATCAATAGGTGATTAGCTCACCTACGAGCAGTCTTTAACCATAAAGCTCCAGAGCTGATCATGTAGATCAATCTACAAAATCACGCAACTGGATCCAATCGAATCCGATTGATAATCTCAAAGGAAATCAGCTCGGCCCCGAGCAGTCTTTCTTCAATCAAGCCCAACTGCTGATCATTGATTAATCTACAAAATCACGCAATTGGCAAACACCGGTGAATCCGACTAAAAGTCTGATAGGAAATCACCTCGACTTAAAGAAATCTTTAAAGATGAAGCTCGAGTGCTGATTGTGTAGAACCACCTACTGAATTCAGACGATCATCTAAAATCAGTCGTTTTCAACCGACAAAGGTTAGCTCAACCCGACGCAACCTTCCAAGTTGAAGCTCAACACGTTAAAAGCTCGAGCTGGAATTCAAAAAGAAACTAGCTCAACTTTATACGATTCTCAAAGAGATCAACTGAGCTTCATCCGGTCCGACCAGTTAGCTGACACGCTAGGTCAAATCTCCAATCAAACCAAAACGACTAATGTTCGAACAATCGAGCTAACAGTCAATTGATCTGGAAAACAAAGATAAACTCTAAGACATCAAACGTCTAAGAAAAATTATCAAACACCAAGCTCATTCCGAGCAAACAAGTTTGAACATAAAAGGATAAAAGCCTTCCAGGCACCAAATCCAAAGGCAAAGCATAAAAACCTTGCTGAGCTAACTTGTTCGAAACTTAAACGAGAATAGAGCTCATCCTTAGCAAGTCACTTAGACGAGCTACTCTATCTCTCACATATTCGAGCTCAGTATCGAGCTCATCTACCATCTCTTTTCATCTTATCAAGCTCATCTTGTCAAGATGCTTCATGTCACCTTTGTTCACAACGAGCAGAGAGCTTCATTTCACCTTCAGATCTTGATAAAGAAATCGCAAATATTAAGTCCGAAGATATCAAATCATCGGCAAACACTTAGAAAAGGTAAAACCATACCTTCTCGTCCGCCGCCATCGCTGCCGCATACAGCTCCCTCTCGAGCGTCATATCCAAAACTGGAGATTGATCTGCAGCAGGCCCGCATTGGCGCAACATGAATGTTCAAGGATTATCCAAAACTGGCACATCCTTCGAACAATCTATCATTACAAGGGATGACGGACTCGCCGTCGAGTTAACTCGCTTTTTCAAGGAGCTCGACAAATTCGGAGTACGATTATCATCTCTTGCTCATTTCGAGCTCCATCCTCATTGTTCGCTATTCGACCTCAACGAGATAGTTCGTCTCAAATGAGTCACTCGGGTATCATCCCCGATAGCAGCATGAAGAACCTGACCTACTACTTCATCACGAAGAGTATATTCAACCGCAACGTGGACAATCTCCACAACTCCATTAGCTCTAGATTGGATTGCTTGCTCACAACGAGTGGCAGCCGACTTTGCAAATCGTTCTCTCTTCCAAGAGGTGGGATACTCGAAGTCGGGCTCTAATCTGTAACAGATGGAACGCGGCGAAAAACGTAACAAACAAAATTTTGTTGCTAAAAATGGATGAAAACCTACACAGGTGTTAAATCCGAAGCAAAACATATGACTTGCCCAAGTCACTACAGCGAAAAACTTTCTCTATCGCAGCATTCGAGCTCGATTCGAAGTTCGCTCGGAACATATATCATCTTGTCAAACTCGATTCTAAACAGATTCTTGCTTGATCCTATATGATCCTAAGAAATCAACTAAGTCTCACTTAGTCTGATTTGAATGGCAGTCAAGCACTCTGCCATATTCTCGAGCTAAAATTCGAGAACATCTCCGAGATCGAGCTAGATTCTCAACAGATTCTAACCTGACCTTAAGAATATCTTCAAAGATATTGACTAAGTCTTTGTTCAGCTTAGCTCAACGATAAGCTCGACCATTTGGTTGAAATAACATTCGAACCAAAGACTAAGTTTTATTTAGCTCGACTAAATAAAACAAATACTTAGTCGAAATCATGCCAAGTAGGACTCGAAATTTCAAAAAGAAATCAGTTTAACTTGAAGCAACTTTTCAGGAAGAGTTGGAAAAGTCTTTTCTGCTAGATTTCTCGGTCAGCCGAAAATCTTATGCGAGAATTCAATCAAACAAACCGACTAAATTCATTTGGTCGTATCCTTTTTCGATTTCGAGTCTGGAAAAACAGTCCGACTTAAAGCGACCAAGTTCGATTAAAGAATTTAATCAACAATTGGTCGAACTCGAAAAATAATCGATTAACTCAAAAAGAGCTCGCGCAATGTTTGAGTTAGTTAAACCAAAAGCTCTTCGATCTAAATTTTCAAGGTGAAAAGCTACTCTTAAGATTCAACGGCAAAGATCTCAAAGATCTCTCGCCTTCCCGTTTGCGACCATCGATCTCTAATGACCATTCAAAGTCATGATTTAGTTCGATGGGACTGCGGGACAATTTTTAAACAACCTACCGCTCATTAAGTTCGGTTATACCCACTTAATGAGCTGGGGGACTATTGTTGGACCTGGATTTCCCTCCAGAAATCCGGCCCATAAGGCCCATCACCTAAGTCCTAAGATCAAGATAAGTCCACTCAGGCCCAGTAAAGTGACCTCGAGCCCACCAAGTATCCTTGTCCAAAATCCAGCTGTTTACTGTCCGAGCTACTTGTGAAGACGAAGTCGAGCTCTAGCTCGACGGAGTCAGTCCAAGAGCTGAGTTTGAACGAGTCAAACGAGAATCTCGCTTCGACTGTTCAGATCCGGAAATAGCGGGATCGGTAGTTGCACGTGGACGAGATACGCGGAGGAGGTTGCGATCTACTTCGGTGCTATAAAAAGAGGACGATTCTTGATCACAAGGCAGCGAATTCCTTTGATCAAAAATCACTACACAAGTTCTTCTCATCATCTTTTCACAGCAGAAACAGAGTGAAGTTCTTCTTCTTCGTCTTGAGATATTCTCATATCTTTTCTCTTCGATCTTATCCTTGATCTTCGAGATAACCTTAGAAAGCCTTGATCTTTCTAGCCGGAAATCACTTCCGGTAGAAGTTCGACGTAATCTCTTACCTTCGGATCACTCCGATTACCTGAGATTTATCGTCATCTTCACACCCTTTAACTCTTTTCGTGGTCATTTCTCTTCAGAAAACGACTCGAAATAGAGAACAACTTACAATCGAACTACGTTCTGGCTTGATCCCTAAAACAGGGTACGTAGGCAGCTCGTTACACGAGCGCAGCCACCACCTAATTTCGATCCTATTTACATGGTCTTTCAGGCCGGTTTTGTAACCACTTTATTCGATTAGCCTAAGTCCGATTTCGTCAAATATTTGTCTACGAATCATTCGACTTACATCAGAATCTAACCTCTGATTCCACAAGCAATTTCTCCCTTCACAGTAGCCCAAATCATAAAATATTTAACTCAAAAATTTAATCTATGTTTTTGTGATAGGTTCTCCCGCTACCACCCGCAAACGCAGCGTTTGCGGTTCGTAGCGGTTTTCGGCGGTTTATAACAATCACGACAACCGCTTTGAATCGCTCTATACCACTCTGTACCGCTCTATATCGCTGAAAATCAAAAGCTCCTTTCCGCAAGCGTTTGCGGTTGCGGGTGGATAATTAAAAAAAAAAAAAACACAAACTTATATAAAATCCGAAAATAAATAATAATATTTATTAAAAAATAAGATTTGGATAATAAAATCACAATATAAATAAAAAATTAGTACTTTTAGTCAATATTCATTAAAATCATATAATACTTATATATTTATAAGTTCTACAAATCAAAATTCTCTTCATAAATATTCTTTTCATACTAATACATATATATCTAATAAATAAAATTGTAAAATAAATTTAATTTTCACATTAAATATATATTTTGAAAATAAAATCACATTTTTATTTAAATTATAGAAATTAAAAGATAGACGTAAGTATTATACACATATTATTATTTATAAAAAAATATTTTTAATTATGTTGAACCATAAATTTAAAATTTTCATTATAAAATATTTTTGATATTTTTATAATTATATAATGTGTTTATATTATTAATTTATTGTTTAACCGCTATTGCATCCGCAAGTGAACCAGTCATAAGTAACCCGCAAACGCATCCATTTTCAATTGTTATGCCAGTCGTACAAACCGCTTAATAACGCTACTAATCACAACCGCCCGCTTCTGCAAACTCCCGCAACCGCAACCGCAGCGGTTAAACCAGTCAGACCCTAAATAGATAAATTCATGATATTCATAAGTAAGCTGTAAACAGTAAATTAGCATATCACATAAGGTGTAATTTGTAAGCTATGCAACAGAACATAGAAGGTGTAAACTTAATAGAACACATAAGATTTTATGTAGCAAATCACAGAAATGTAAGCTATAGAGCATATATGGGCTGCAGTTTTTAGCTTGAAGTGTTTACATGGGTCTAAATGAGCGAGCCTAAATACGAATAGGATTAAGTACAGTATTTATCATAAAAAGTCAAAATTTTGATGTATTTTGGACTTTCTACTTCAATTAAGAAATTAATATTTTCATGTAATTGTGAATACTAGGTTTGAAGCTCCGCGCAAGGGTTGTTTGAGATAGTTTTTATGTTTTGTGTTAATTTTAATGTTTTTGTTATATTTTGACTTTATCCAACCACTAACACAAAAAACTATGAACAATTTGTTTTTTACTTTTGTTAGGATGTTAACATCCCACTTTATTTCGAGTTTTCTATTTCTAAAATTTTAGAATATTATAAATATTATGTTTGTTTACTTCTATTAGATTATAAACATGCTTATACATTTGACTCAATGTTAAAATTTGTAAACATAATGTAAAATCGCATTTGCATCCGAAATAAGATGTGTACTTTTATATATATCTACTTTGTTGTGGTAGCATCTGAGCCTCATGACCATTGATTATTTTCTTTTATGTTAGTTTTATAAATATAAATTATATTTAAATAAAAAAACATATTACAATCGTTAAAATTTTCATGTTTTTCACTGCAATTAAATTTACATTATAAACTCGACTTCTATTTATTTTTAAAAACTAACTCTAATTCTAATTTCTCATTATCTTTCTATTATCTTAATTAATTTATATTAAACTGTTTAACTTGTTAACACATTATAACATTTTTAAATAGGATAAATCCTTCGAATAAAAAGGTAAATATATACTATTTCAAGTTAATATTTCTTTACTCCATCTCCATTTTATGTTCCAACTTTTGGATAACTTTTAACATCAAGCTATCATATACTTTATATTAATTAATTTATTTTATTTGTGTATTTTTTTTAGTTTTATTTATATTTAAAATTTGAAAAAATGTAAAAAATATGAATACTCATGCATTTAATAAATATTTTAAATATAAATTAATATTTTTGTGCTGATGTGGATAACCCTATTATATATAAGATAACCAACACATTGTTGGCGAACAACGTAAATTTGTATGTGTTCTTTACATTTACTGCGTGGGTAAATAAATGAATGAAATTAATAATGTGTTCTTTACATTTGTATGAGTTAATATTATGTATGTATATTTTTGTTAAGTATAAATAAATAATATATAGGTGCATTTTTGTTTTTGTTATTGCTTTTTCGTTTTAGGTCATCTCGCTTAACTTGGCGTAACTGACAGAAGAAGACAATATGCTAAAATAGAAAAGCACACAACCTTTGCTACGTCGTAATGCTTACCAACTCGAATGGCATTTGGTGTTTTATCAATTTTATATCCTTTACTTGGCATTTAAAATTTGTTAAATTAATGCCTAGCTAGGTCCTACCGCCGGAATTCTAAAATTCGATCTTTTACAGAGATTCAAGAAGTGTAGTATAATATGAGTAGATAGTATGAGTACTACTTAAGAATATTTACACATGAGTTGTTTAGCAGTGCATGAATTACATGGTAAGATGTGTGCCTGCTGATGAAGTGATAGCCTTGTTATATATCACTACAGTACTGTACAAAAAGTAGGTGTATATGCTGTTTGGAATTAAACTTGAAAGAGTAGTTGTTACAAATATCGAAAGTGATCCACTGAAGACAGAAGCGGGTGGATGCTACCATATCCTAATTTGATATCAGATATCCATCTAATAATATGAAGCATGATTTTGTGACTGTTTGGGCAAAATTTAACCGGTTCGCAAGTACAATAAACGGAATGACGCAGGAGAAGATATCTTATTAATCAATTGAATATCGAGCTACAACAAGTCAATATCAAAGATTAAACTAAGAGAATCTCGTCTGTCGCTCGTCGTAGATCGTAGTTCGTCGTATCTAGGTTGTTCGTCGCTTGCTCGTCGAGAGGCGAAGAACAAGTAGCTATTAGGGTTTTTGTGTGTTTTTCTGAATGTCCCCTTGTCCTTGTTATGGGACCTCTTATTTATAGGTGCTTGTCGATCCTAATCCTTGTTGAGTTGGGCTTTGACGTCGGTCGTAATCATTCCTAATTTCCTACGTCGGTCGTCATTCCATCGGTCATTGCTAAACCATTAATTAACATCGTTGGTCGCTGCCTCGTCATGTCGATGCTAAGGCCTTTTAGACACTAAGAAGTAAGATCGACCGGTGGTCATCATGGTCGTCAGTCGATCATATCTCCAGCTTGTAATAGAGTTTAAGGAGCGACCGGCTAGTGAATTTATTTCACCCAACAACTTGCCCCCTACTCTTCAATTTCTTGTTTAGAATTTGTAGAGTAATACTTCATTTTCATATCGTCGGTCGGTCGCTTGCTCATGTCACTTGTGTGACTGTTGTTCGTTTACTTTTTTCTTCGTTCGTCGATGGCTTATGCGAGTGACAAACTCTTCTTTTAAATCATGTGGAAATAACTAAGCAAAATAAGAGGGACGTACTTATTTTAATATCCATGTGGGATTGATTAAGAATGGAGATGGACAAGCTTCTTTCTCCAATGACCAATGACAAAGTTTTATTCTTGAAGCATGTACGTCCTTCCCTTTTTTTCCATGTGGGTCCCAAAGAAGTTGTACTTGACCACTCATGTAGCTTTATTAAAATTGAGGAACGACGTACATTAATTATGTAGTTGTGTTGTTTGTTTATGTAGAGAGTGACCAGCGACAAACATGTTTAGTCGTGCCTCTTCCTTTTTTCTCTTAATCGTCGAGCTTCATTCTCTCCAATCTTAAGTAAAACGTATTTTTTCAAATCGTCAGGCGTTGCTCGTCAATGCTGTTTCGGACCTTGCTCCCTTTCTAATGTAGATGTTATTCATTTTTTGTATGTCGCTCATTTATCTTCTTTTGTCGTTCCCTCTCTTTTCAATTGGAGTTACTGTTCCTTTTCCTCTTATGTCGTTAATAGATGTTTATCTATTAAGATATTATAGTAGAATTAATGGAGCTCCTTTTTACTAGTAGTTGGTCTTGATCTCATAAGATCTATAAAAACTAGCAAGGACAAACACGTTTTATGTTCGTCTTGGTTGATCACTTGGATTGACTACATAAGTCCTTACCTATTGATGAGCGTCGATGAATTCAGAACTTGCTTTCTCAACGGATAAGCAGCTATTAGGCTGTGAGGGCTATACCCCTTAGTTTATTGTCATATTTTCACGAGGACGTACCTCTTGATTTTGTAGATGTTGTCACAGATTAAGGACGTACCTCTTCATTTGTTAGCTAATGATTTATGATCATAACATTTGGAGGTCGTGCCCCTTTGTTAATCAAAGAGTGATGTGACATCATAGTCTATTGGAGGTCGTACCTCTAACTTATTTGTTAGCGACTGTCGTCGCTGTCTATTGAGTACGTACCTCTTTATTATATCATGACTTATCATGGTGAGGTCGTACCTCTTAATTTATTTAGTAGCGACATCGTCACTGTATATTGAGGACATGTCTCTCTATCTATTTGCTTATGACTTGTTGTCATAGCATGTGGAGGTCGTACCTCTAAATCAATTATTAGCGACTGTCATCGCTCTTACTATATATTGAGTACATGACTCTTTATGACTTGTCGTCATAACATGTGGAGGTCGTACCTCTAAATTAGTTATCAGCGACTGTCGTCGATGTCGATATACATTGAGTACATGACT